CATCCTGAATCTATTAAACCTAAACAAATTATTTCAAAATTTTCTATTCTAATAAAACATTTTACTTTAATACTTTTTAATTTTTCTGGATTACAAAAAACTTGAACTAATTTTGGTTCAGGAGTGATTTCTGGATTTTTTCCTTTTTTATTTAATTCTAAAAGTTCTAATTTTTGTAAAATATATCTTTGCATATCTTCTAAATTTTCTATTCTTTTTCTTAATATTTTTATTTCTGATAATTCTATTTGAATTGAATCATTCTGATTATCCTCTTTAAATTCTACTAAGTCTTTTTGTATTAAGCATTTTTTACATGCTTATAAAAAACACTCTTTACATTTAACTCTTAATTTTTTACTAGGATACCATTTACATAAAAAACATGGTATACTATCTGAACCTGTTTCTTTTATCCATTTATGTTTACATTCTAAAATTAAAAGTAACTAAAAATTTACAACTAGAATTAAAAGAACAGATTTTATATAGATATTTAATTTCAGAATTTAGAGAATAATATTTTATAAATAGTTTTGATCAGATATTTATATCAGATTTAAAATTAAGGATTGAATTAGATAATATAGATAATAATTATTTATCAGATCATACAAAATTTTCATTAGATTCTTTTTATTATTCAGATTAGAGTTTTAAAACTAGATCTTTTAGTAAAAGAGATTAATAAATTAACTGGAGAATTAAGTACTTTAGGAAAAAGAATCTTTAATATTAAGAAAGATATTAATAAAATTCGTGAAAACCTAGATTTTATTAAAGAACAAAATTTAACAATTTTAAACAAAATTTCTAGAGTAGAAGATAAAGAAAAATTTCCAGATCTTAAGACTACAGAAGCAATAGAAAATATAAATAAAAAATTAAATAATATAGAAAATAAACCAAATCAAGAAATTGAAAATATAATAAATAATTTAGACAGATTAAGTTTAAAAAATACAGGTAAAGAAAAAATAACTAGAAAATCATTTACAACATTTTATAAAATATGAATAATTTTCATGGTAGATCAAGAACTATTAGAGAAGTAGGATCATCTTCAGAACCATATGATAGAGGTAGACATAGTACTTCTAATATAAGTACAAATATAATAGAAAGAATTTTACATAGACAGCCTCAGTATAATCAGAATATAGAAGAACTTATAGATCTTGAACAAGATTATAATAGATTTCAAAGTCATGATCTACAATTACTTAATCCAGAAAATTTATATAATAGAGGAATTTTTGAATCAAGAACTCAATTTTTTAGACATACTAGAGAAGTATCAATTCAATGTTTAGATGGTCAAGTAAGACAATTATCATTAATATCAGAAGAATCTAAAAAAGAATTAAGAAAAAAGAATTTTAGATTTATGCATCTAGGATTAATAGTAATAGGAATTAAAGGATTAATGAGAAAAAATTTAGGAAACAAAGTCTTATTAACTATTTATGATGAAAGAATCCAAAATATAGAAAAGAGTATGATAGCTAGTACAGAAGTAGATATGAATGATAATAATGGAATTATATATTGTAATCCAGATTTTTTATTATCCATAAAAGATTTTTCAGAAAAAATTAAAATAGGAATTCAAACACATGGATATGAAGATGTTGTTTCAGGAGAAAATTTATTAATAAATATAGGATTTTTAGGAAGATGTAGTAATAATTCTCAAACAAAATATAAATTATACATAGATAAAGTAATAAATTTAATGAGTAGTAAAGGACTGTTATAGGCGGTTGTTAAAACAAATTATGAAAAATCTTACTCAGTACTCTTCTTAATTTAGATGTCTTTTTCTTTTGATAAAATAATATCCTCCCCTTTTTTTTTTTAAACATGACATCTGAGATATATGAACTTGGGCCTAACTCCATTCTTGTAAGGACACCACTGGCACTCCCTTAACAAGAATTCTTAAAACAGTGATCCCTTTCCCTCTTCTATGCGTCTCCTAGCCTCTTCACTGGGCTTTTACGCTTTGAGAGGTCACTCAGGGCTTATTTTAAAAACAGTTTAAACTTTTAACTTGGAGTTAAGACATGCTATTATCATATACTCATCATAAAACATAAAACTCTTTACAAAAATCATAAAACTTTTACAAAAATGAAAAATTTACGGACAAAAATTGTTCTTACAAGATCTGGAACTAATATTAACTATTAGCACCATATCTTAGAACTATAAAGCATACCTACCGGAATGATCCATCGGTAGTTTTTTTTTTTTAAATAACATATTTTTGTGGGATATTATTCTATCTAAGAATAAGAACAATTAAGAATTTCCCTTTCGGGAGAGAAAGAAGATTAGAACATATTTCAGAGAAATAAAAACATGTATTGTATATATTTTCTTGTGTTAAAGACTGATTGGATTCATTTAAAATTTTAAAATTTTTAGTCATACATTCACAATGTTCACAAAACTTAGAAATATAATCTAAAGGCTGATCTGAAACATTCTTTAAAGAAGGGGCAACAAAATAATTAATTCCTAAAAATTTTCTACATTCTTCTAATACTTCTGAAATTGAATAAAATCTTTTATAAAGAGGATTTGGAAATTTTTTTATGCAATCTGAAACTTCTAACCAAGTATGATAAATTCCTGAAAGTCTACCTTGTAAAACAACATAACACTTAAATTTTTTATGGTCTTGATTAAAATGTTCTGAAAGAGCGAGCCTCCGTGTACGGAGGCTCATGCTTGAGCCTCATGGAGGCATAGATGCCTCCATAACATATTATATTATAAAAATTTAATTATTTTTTATTTTTTAGTATTATTATATTTCACTTTCCAAAAAAAAAAAAAATCATAAAATATATTACTTTAAAAAAATTAATTTTTAAAATTATATTTGATAGATTATGTAATTTTGAAGCACAATCTAAAATATTAAGATTAGAATCATTTCATGATAAAAATGAAATTATAATAAAAACTCATTTCTCGAAAAATAAATATATTTATTTGTTAATAAATAAAAATATTATTTTTATATATGTACGTAAAAGATATATAGTAACCATTTGGATGATCAAAAAATAATATCAATCAAAATGTTTACGAATCGTTTAAATAATAATTTATTGAGGGGGTTAATTTAAGAGAAAAAAGTGTGAATTCCATAAATATATGTAAAAAAAACTCGCTTAAAGTTATTTAAAAGTAAAAAAAAAAAACTTATAATTGTAAAAATTACTTGTAATTTAACAATATATTAACTTAAAAATTTGGAGTAAATATTTAAATATATTTCATTTTTAAAATTAAATTTAACTTATATGTTAAATAGATGATCTATAAATAAAATATCATTTAAATAAATAAAAATATATCAAAGGAATTTCTTCATATTTATTATGGAGATGAGATCAAGCCTCTGTATCATGGAGGATTTTCCTCCGTAATACGGAGGCTTGTTCTCAAGCCTCCGTATTACGGAGGATTGAAACTTCTAAGTATGGTGACTAATTTTTTTCTTTGAATTTGTTCTCAAGCCTCCGTATTACGGAGGATTGAAACTTCTAAGTATGGTGACTAATTTTTTTCTTTGAATTTGTTTATTAGTAATATTTTTATTTGTTGATATTTTTTGCTATCACTATTTATTTCCAACAATCACTTTTATGTAAGAAATTACTAACAAATAAAAATTCAGACAAAAAATATTTGTAAAATGTAAGAAGTTACTTATAAGTAAAAAATCTACAATTTTGAAGCTAATAAAAATATAATAAATACAAAACTCGTGCAATGCACGTGTCAAAGACTAGTATAATTATTACACTGCATGTGCACATATAATTAATATTATATTAATTAACATGCAAGTCTGACTCTTATTTACCTCAATATCGGACTCCACGATCAATTTTCACAATGTTTAGTGCAGAAACGACAATGGCAGAAGCCTCTAGGGGTTGTCGAGTACTCATATGTAATTGTCTAATATAGTGAAACCCCTATCTTGGTTGCCCTTGAACTGGCTTGGGTCGTAGGTCACTTTTGCTATTACTGACAGTGAATATTTGCAGGTTTCTTAGTCATTTGTGAAGTGAATTACTTTGTACTTTGGTGTTTTGACTATGATTTTTTCTAACATCATCCCATGTTGAAAAGTTTTGAAATCAATCGAAAAATTAAAATAAGCTGGGTAAATATGGGATTTGGATATAGAGTGAATCGGGTTGATTGACAGGATGGTAAAGATGGAATTAAGAATTTAATTTATAAAGAAAAAAGGGATTTTTGTGCTGCTTGAGAAATGAGGAATGGCAATTGAATTATTGTGTAGTGTAAATAGGAATGATAATCGGGTTTGTCGACTTGGGTCGCGCGTGGTTCGACTTGGAAAAAACTCGAGTCGGCCAAGCCTCGAGTCTCATTTTGGAGAGTCAACTCAAGCTGGATTGACCCCTAAAAAGAAAAAGAAAAAGAAAAAGGAAAGAAGTATAAATCTGCTGCCTGTTTGGCAACTATTTTAGGGGGAAAAATTTTAAAAAATTCTAGAAAATCGAGTTCGGCCCGGCAAGATCAAAGCCTTAATTTTTTGGCCAAACTTTTGCTCAGCTTCAGTCGAGAATTTCGGCTCGTTGACAACCCTAGGTGTAGATGAATTTCTTGTTCTTCTTTTATTGAATGATTTTTTTCTTCTTTCTCAACTAATTAGAGATTTGTAAGCAGAAAAAGTAATAAATTTTACTAACTCAATTGGCTAAAATTTTGTACTAATAACATATTATAATTTAGGAGAAAAGAGAGAATATTAGAAAGAAATAATAAATTTGCATATTTTATTACGATAGAAGTTTCATATATATAATGATCAGAACTATAGAGATATAAAAGTCATTCATAAATGCTATTATATTTACAATAGGAACCAATTGCCAAACAAAAATTTACTTTTAATCCCCAAGCGGGGGCTGAGATTTGGGGCCCAAAAAATTTGGGGATACATGTAATTTCAACAAAGTCATAGGTGCCAAATGAAATTCATTTTCTTTACATTAAACTCATCTTCGTAGACTACGAAACCAAACCCTAACACAAAGAGAGAGAGGAAAAATCTCGACTGAAAGTGCCTCAAGCTGACATGGATGCGCTGAGGAAGCAGCTAGACGTGTTGATGGGGGCCAATCGAAACGGTGACGTAGAAGAGGTGACGCGAAAGTACTTCGATCGTGACGTCTGCCGCCTGTACCTCTCTGGCCTCTGCCCTCACGACCTCTTCCAACTCACTGTACGTATACGTGTGTGTATGTGTTTATATGCACACTCGTGTATTTGTAGGCTATAATTTATTTAAAATTTTCAGGTTTTGAAAAGGTTAAACGAACGTAATTAACTTTTTTTTGAGCTTTTTGGTTCTAAGAATTAGGGGAATCAGCTTATTTTTACGTTTGAGGATCAATATTTATAGTTACATGCCCAAAACTTGTGTAAAATTTTTTGACGGAAAGTTTAGATAGCATGAGTTTGTTATAAGCAAGTGTTTTTTGTTTGTTTATTTGTTTTGGCACAGAAAATGGACAAGGGACCGTGCCAAAAGGTGCATTCGTTGCAGCTGAGAAAAGAGTATCCTTTATATAGGGTTGATATACATTTCATGTCTAATTATTGTTTGTTTCCCATTAGTATTTGATTTGCACATTGAAATTGTAAATACTAGTTCGTAAAAAAATTAATTGTTAACATTATAACATAAAAGAATTCATTTCATGTATTTATATCTCTTGGAGAATTATTGAGTTTCAAGAATGTTAGAGGTTTATCCTTCAGAAAGTTATTTTATAAATGCATATTTGAAATTAAGTGTTGATGAAAGTGACAAAACAGAATTCGAAGAAGTACCTGCTACCTAGAAATCTGACCCAGGAATATCTTCTTATTGAATCTGGAATTCTACTGTTCTCTTCTGTATGGTTGTTCTAATGTTTTTGTGATTCTGTTTGATTTTGGGAACAAGAAATCCATGCTTTAATGAAACTCCCACCCGCTGCTTTTCTGCTGTTCCTTATGCAAATATATGTAACACCATGGTATATGCACATGTTATATTCAAGATTTTTCCAATATGCTGATGTGGAAGCTTGTCATTTGAATTGTCAATATGTTGCTTTAACACTTGGCTAGATACCAGGAAGCAAAAGCAAAAGGTCTAGATAATTATGATAGGGACTTGGAGGATAACATAGATAGACTTATTGTTGAGTGTGACCGGAAAATCGTTAGGGCTCTGAAGAGACTTGATGAAGAGGATGCTAAAGCTGCTATTGCTATCTCTGTGTCAGAAGTCACCCTAGTAATTACTGAACCTTAGTTTTCTAATTCTTTCATTTATTGTTTTTCTCTTCTGCACCACGTCATTATCCCCATTATACTAAGCTGATTCATTTGGATTCAGACACCTGAAATTCTCGAGTTGTCAAAACAAATTAAAGAGAAATTGAAAGAAGTTGATCAATTTGGTAAGTTTTCTGTGATCCCTCTGATTCTTTCTACTGAAACTTATGGTTTATAATAAAACGTCTTCTCAATATTACTATCCCTTGAAAGATGAGATGTAGAAGTCTACTTAAAAGTTGTTTTGCCTCATTTAGGTTTGGAGCTGAGATGCCATGAATTTAACAAGGTTAGAAAACAATATGACAAGAGAAACCATTTTAATAGCCATTGTTGTCACCCCCTACCATCTAATTAAAATTCATATTCAACTAATCTCTAGAAATCATGCGGAAAATAATTCTCACTTACTGCTTTATGTATTTTTAACAACCGTATTCTTGTTGAAACATGTAACTCAATACAACTTATAATTCATAGACACTCTGGAAATACTTCCAAATAAACATGATAAAGGTTATTCACTGCATAGTTATTAGTTCAAAACATAAATATAAAAATCAAGACATGATTCCAAACATATCCTTGACAAGTCTACACCCACTAATCCTAATGTCCAAAATCCTTCTTGAGTGCTAAAAAGAGTAAGAGTACTAAGTAGCATCGAGTTCTTGAAGTCACCTACAATGCAGTATTATCTGAAATGCTCAAAAAATGAAGATAATAAATAACTACGAAATGAATATTAGCATAACTATCATAGCAGGCACCTCATGGCATCACAAGTTCTGTTCCAGATAATAGAAATCTATGAATATCAGAATGCTCAAAATCTTTGATTCAAAATCATTTTCCAGGTCCCCCTCACTTATTGCGATGCTTATGGACTGGTAATATACAGTTATGCATCTGCATCCTCTTGAAATCTACTTGTGTCATTCCACATCCCACCAGATGTGATACCTAGGCGAAGTCATCTTGTCTCAGCGTTATATCGCATTATGCATCTAATGTAGCTAGAATCCTTGAGAAATAAGAAACAAAAGCCCAATCTCGTTGATTCACGACGAAGAATATCAAGATGGATTGATGAATTTGGGAGAAACTTCTCCAATTTTATACAATAAATTAAATCAACCAAATAACAGTGAATCCCTATTATAACTTTTAGAGGAAAGCAATAAACCCTAACTTAGTCTTCTAGATAAGCTTGAATGGTAGGATAATTAATCTAAGTAAATAAAACTCCTAATAAGATAAATCTCGTGCTAAGCTAATCATGGAAACACATTATCTCGACAATAAATTAATTTTCACTACAATAAGTTAAATGCTTGTATTATCGCCTAAATGATAGAATCAGGCCAATAATTAGTAGGGTCAAGGATTAGCCCATGCGTCTTGGATAAAAGTTCTCATCCCATTTTGACTCAATAGACTAGGTGAAAGTATTTAATTGCATCAATCTCTTTGAATTTTGAGAAGATTCGTTTCGAATTTTGTAACATAAGCTTTATTCCCGCTTTAGTGCCACTCTATTGTTCAACAATATTTATTAGTTGCAAATTATGAACCTAACTATTGTAAACCTTTGTCAACCTATTCATTATCACACTGCCATAAACACCTGTTGCTAACATAACTGTATTTTGAATGTCCATCACCAGTGTCTTGTTCCTGCCTACTTCAACAAATCCTTGTTGACCTTGATATCAAAATGAGTTGGCCACAATAATTATCTAAATCAATGTCCAACAAATTGGCATGGGAGCAAAAAGATCTGTAATGAGCTCCATCGCAACACAAGTTCTATAGATCCAATCACCATTCGCAGCACCTCATCCTACTTTACAAGATGTGAGGGAGATTCTTCTCAAGCCCAAAGAGAATGATGCAATTGGATACTTTAACCTAGCCAACTTGTTAGAATTGGATGAATAAAAGCACTATTCCATGCAAAAGTGAGCCTCTAACCAAAATTCATTGGCTAAAGCCCTGGAGCCTACTGATTTCTGGGCCATATTCTATCATTTAGGCTATCAAATGGGCACTTGTCTTATTCTAGCAGAAATTAATTTAATTGTCAAGATAATTTGTTTTTCATGTTTAGTTTAGTAGGCATTTATTTATATTAGTGTTCCTAAACTTCGTGTTTATCTATAAGTTTAAGATAGGGTTTCTTGTTTTCCTTTAAAAGCTAGAATTATGATTCATTGTTATTTGGTTTCCTGTCTTGTCGAAAAATCTTTTTCATAAAACTCATGTTGGTTGCCCTAAACTTTATAATGCACGCATGATTTATCATGAATCATGTTTATGCATGCGCACATTCCAATGGATGCCTTGCCACGAAAGGTGATACCACATTATAAATCATTTCATATTTGGCCTTGTGAAATTGTACTTCTCTTAACCTTGCTTAAATAATAGATATATTGAAGTGAAATATATATCTTAAATTGCATAGAAATAATATGCTTGCAATACAGCTTAAATGAATCTTTCTTATTTAAGTATTTATGTGGAAATGGTTGGAATATTAGACTATTAATAAGTCTCCCCTTAACCTGAGGTACGAGACAACTTGCTCACATCCTCCACAATTACCTCTTGAATTCGTAATATTAAACTTGATGCATGTGCCTCAATTTATTCTTAAAATTAGTAAGGCTGTGTAATACCCCCAAATGATAAACCTTAAGAGCATCTCTAATGGTGGTGTAAAATTGGGTGTTGATTGGTGTATTTAAAATTACTTTTGCATCCTCATTTACATCTCAACGGATCTAGATTCAAATTTTGTTCCAATGGAAAGATTTAAATCCAGTTTTTTCCTCTCTTGGAGATGTAAATTTACATCTTTCTTTCTTTCTTTTTAAAAAAAAAAAAAAAAAAAACATTTTCTGCTCAAAAATTCAATTTGCATTTCGTTTGCATCTCTTCGTTGGAGAGATCTAAATCACAATTTAGATCTGAGATGCTCTAACTAGCACAATTTAACTTCTTCATAGATATCTACTAGCTTTTTCAAACATTTGAAACATTATTGAGCTTTCCACTTCAGTTTGCTACTTAGATTTGATATTAGATATTCTAATCTACCACTGAAGGCTTGGAGCTATTGTCCACCATGTCTAACATTCATTCTCCAAATATTACTTTGCAACGGGAAGATATATTAATAGTGTAAATTTTTTTTCACAATCAATTTTACATGTATAATTTAGAAAAGTTAAATCAGCTTTTTGAAATAGTGCTCTAATTTGGGATAACTATATGGGAATTGTATCTATAACTATGGAATGGAGGGTACTGATGTGCATTGTGTCCAGGACAATGTAATTAGCCAGTTGACATCGTAAAATTAGCTGAATGATACATAGAAGTGACTAAAAAAGGTACAAGTGGTTATAATGCTTGAAATGATTTCAAGGTATGCACATTCTTTCTGTACGAATTCTCTCTTTTCTGGCACAACCATCTGTAAGTCTTTCAGGATGATACGTGTATATTTATTGTTATGATATAAAGTTTATCTAATTGATTTGTTGGTTCCTGTTGATAGTGATTTAATGAGGTTGCTGAACATTATTTGATTTTGTAGACCTCGAAGGCAAGACGGACATGAAGATTCGTGCTTTGGAAGAGGTTGAAGAACTAAGAATTAAAAGAGCGGACATGCAGGTTGTAAAGGCTATTAGACATTTAACTGTAAACTAACTAATTATCAGTAAAATGATGCAGCTGAAGATTCGTCATATACTTCTGTTATCTAGATTAACATTCATATTATTTATGTGAGTAATTAAAGTTTGATGTTGTTGAATGACAGTCAATACTTCTTTTGGATGCTTTTAACAAAGATCGTGCATGTCTACCTCAGCCACTGACAAATCCTCCACAGTTGGCACCTTTGCCAGCTGCTACTCCAGATCCTCGCATACAGGAAATGATTAACGAGAAGCTAAAGAAAGCTGAAGATCTTGGTATGATGTTTTCTTAAGCTTCTATAGATAGAACACACTCTAGGTTGATACAATCATATACTAATAACGAGAAGCTAAAGGAAGCAGAAGATCTTGGTATGATGTTGTCTTAAACTTCTATATATACACATGCTGTAGGTTGATATCATCATATAATAGCTATTTGATTTTACCCGGTCGACTTTACACATCCTTCAGAGTATTTGGATTTATTTTTCTTGTTTAAACATGAAGATGTGGATGCTTGTCTTAGCCTACTGCTGCTGAAATGTCTGAGGCCATCTTATGCCTTTAACTATCCTTACCCCTTAAATATTTCTGGAGAGTTTATATAGGTGAGTCTATATTCCTGTTGCCACATCCTGAAGGCTTCACTTGAAACGGGTTACTCTTTAGGTTGGTTCCTAGGCCTGCATAGTTCTGTTCTGTCCTATTAAAAAGCTTGTAACAACAACTATTGATATAATGATGCGGAGCAGTCATTGTACCTGATTGATCGGACTATATTCGACACAAAGATTTAGCTAATTATATCCTTTAGTAGCCTTGACTGCCCAAGTATATTACACCTGTGCATGTCTTCGGCTCAATGGGCTGACTTTGGGGCTTGGACGTTGATATGGATATTTAACGTGAGTAGTTAGGCCATAGCGTTGGGCTTATGTGGCCGTGTCCTTTGATATAGTTTTAGTTGAGACTAAAAAGGGGTTAAATCTTGAATTCAAGTTTGGAGCCATAGTTGTATGTTGAGTAGAAATAAGACAAATGCAATGCCACTTCAGTAATAATAGCATTGAGGATATTAATGAAGTTATGATAGAGGGATGTGTGATCCCCAAAAGTGATAGTTTTTGGTATCTGAGTTTGATTATTAACAAGGGAGGAGGAATTGAAGAGAATGTAAAGCATAGAAATAGAGTGGGGTGTATGGATTGAGGAGTTCCCTATTGGTCAAATATCAGTTTAATAGGCCGATCACAAGCCAACACAGGTCATGGCAATTGTGCTTTGGCCAAATTTATAACCAACAGGGGAAGGGGAAACAAGATTTGACCATTGCATATTGGCAATATGCTCGTGTTGACAAAGGGATGGAACATACCATCGAAGTTTGCAGGTAACAACAGTAACAACTGTAAATATTTGCTTGTTACTACACATGTTGCGGCCGAGGGGCACTGCACGCACATGACAAGGATCAAGGCCTGCATTTGCTTGTCCTGTCAAGCACTGAGCACACAAGCTGCCATCGCTCCCAAGCCAACACATGCTGCAAGCAGATGTGCCTCGGCTAAATTTATAGCAATGCTTTATGGTACCTAGTGTTGGGGTAAAGGGTGTGTTTGAAATTGGTCCTGGTCCAATGAGAATTAGATCGAATGTAATACGAACAAGAATTCTGCAAATGGTTTTTATTTTTTATGTGTTTGTTTTAATGCTTCAGAAACATTTGTGAAGTGTCTGTTACTGTTATTTTTCATGCTTGTTTTCAAGCTACAAAAATGCTGATTATTTTTACTACATTTTGATTAATGCAAGTTCTTTTACATTTATAAAAGGCGCATATAATTTTGAGATAATAAAAGAATATTTTTGGGGCAGAATTATTTTATTGTGTAGCTAGAACCGAGAACTAGGATAGAACCATTTTAACTTTTAGTTAAAAGAACATATCCAATTAAATTAATCTGAAATGAACCTTGTAGTTTAGTCCAGGTTTAGTTTAGTTAGTGGTTTCAGATGTGAAGGACAACCTCGAGGTTAAATGTCCTTGAGGTGAACGTGGTTGAAATGATGATGTTGAGATGGAGGGGTGGTCATATTAAAGTGGATAGGTTAAGAAATGACAATATAAGCCAACAAGTGGAGGCAACACCAATTGAGGATAATTAACGAGTTAGGTGTTTATTGATGTTAATGATCTGTTTACTTTGGATATTTTATTTGGAACATATATTATTTGTTGTTGTTGCACTTTAACCAAGTTGAATACAAAAAAACTAGAATTAGTTACTGAATAGTATACAAAGAAACCTTATTGTAGAGTCTAATTGATTTAGATATTTTAAAATAAATTTTGTGAGAAGTAATTTTTTTTGGGAGAATGTGTAGATCAAAAGTAGTAAAAAGTTATAGCGTCACATGCAAAATTATTTTATTGAGATAATATAGTTGAAAATGAGTTTGGGGAAAAACAGTCTTCACCAAACGGGCATAATATTCATTTATATGAAGATAGAATTATGATTTGTTTAAGTTGGATTTGGAGTTGATTGAACCTTGGAAATAAATGACTTTAGGCGTAAACTTCTGCTAAATCTTCAATGTATAATGGCCTTACTACCGAAAAAGCTTACTTATTCTTTTTTAGTCTTTATTTTTTGCTTGTGCTTGGAAGCTTGTGTGAGTTTTTTACTTTTTTAATTTTTGTTATGAAAATTTGCTTGTCTTTAACATGTGGCTTTGGTGCTTCAGGTGAACAAGGAATGATAGATGAAGCACAGAAAGCATTGGAAGAGGCTGAAGCACTGAAGAAGGTTTAATTTTATTTATTTGAATTTTGTTAGTTGTAACTAATATATCTAAATATCTTTTATTCATTATTTTTGCTTTAGTCTATTATGTAATTTGTTTGTCCCTTTCTGTTTCCATTTTATTGATGCAATTTATTTTATTACTGATGATATATCTAAATATCTTTTATTCATTATTTTTGCTTTAGTCTATTATGTAATTTGTTTGTCCCTTTCTGTTTCCATTTTATTGATGCAATTTATTTTATTACTGTTGTCATCAGTTGCCAGCACGCCAGGAACCTGTACTAGATTCATCAAAATACACAGCTGCTGATGTGCGCATTGTAAGTCTGATTTCATATTGTTGGACTGGTTTTGACAATGTCTCCAATACCATTTCCGTTCACCTATATTTCATGAATTATTTGTTTGGGCAAAATGTCAATATACATGCATCTTGTGGTCTATATTTTCAGTCGGCAAATAGGATGTTACGTTGTAGAAAGAATTGAAAATATTCTTGCCGATTATGTGGTTTGATCATGAAATTTAGAGTTTGATAATGCATATAATTGTTGATCTAATATATGATTTTAATCCTTACAGACTGATCAGAAACTTCGTGTATGTGACATTTGCGGAGCATTCTTGAGTGTTTATGACAGGTAAATGTTAATGTCATTTTCTAAGCTAAAACTATATCTCACAGCATTTTAGGACGATAAACGTCTAGTTTCAAGAGTTTTGGGTACTTCATCGTTTGACCTGGCGATTATACCTCCTTGTCACCAGCAGGCTTTTGGGCCCAGTTTTACGAGGATAAACTTTTGCAGCTAAAGAATGTGCGTTATTTTTCTGTTTTATGTTTGACGTCATGCTATCCATAGCTAGAAAAAATTGCAGGGCTACTGTATTACTATTTTTATTCTTATGGGTATTTTAATCTAGTTATGATCTTGCTATGTTGACCTTTATGTGGTTTCCAGTGACCGTCGCTTAGCAGATCATTTTGGTGGGAAGCTTCACTTAGGCTATATGCAGATTCGTGAGAAGTTAGCTGAGCTCAAGGTATGACCAGAAAACAAATTATTTACTGATGGTGGCTTAACTATTTTTATTGATATATGATCCTCTACATTATGTCCTTTGATACATTAGCTTTCTGATGAAGTTATCCATCTATATTTATTTTTATCTTCTATTTGGACTTTTATTTATATTTATGTAATTGGGCTTGCATAATGGGTTTGGCCTAAACCCTTTCTCTTTAGGGTTTTTTGTTTGTTTTTGTTTTGCTATTTAAATCTAGTTTTTTGGTAATTGAGACAGTTGATGATTGAATAAAAATATTGGTGGCTTGTTGCAAAGGTTTTGTCCTTTATATCCCATTTTTCTTCTCCTTTTTTCCCTCCCTCCCTATTTCTACTCCTCTTGCTGCATTTGAATCCTCAATTCGTGCTGCATCACTTTCCCTGGTGCTTAGCATAGAAGTAGTTTTTCTTTGCTTGTACTGGCCAATGTTTTAAAAACCGACCCGGACATTGACCTGGAAAAGAAAAAGGGTCAAGGGTCGACTCGGGGTCGAACTGGAAGTCAAAGTTAATGGAAAGAATGAAGTGAACAATTAAATAGGTAAAATTGCAAAAGGCTTGATCCTACATTGGAAGTTGAAGAATATTGTATAGGAATCTTCTCTTTAAAAGCAGCAATAGGAAGAAACTCAAAATTGGGCCTGCAAATGCTATTGAGCTCATTATCAAGTTGATTTTTTATTTTTTTTAATTTAATAAAATCTTAATAAACCAGGAACTTGTTTTCCGGTTTCCGGATAAAGCAGCCAGTTCAACGGGTTTTTACTGGTCTTTTCTTTTTCGGTTAATACGTTAAGACCAGACTGGTTTTGGGACTGGTTCCCTGTTGAATCAGCCTGTGTCCAGTCTGGTTTTCATAACATTGGTACTGGCTGCCGGTTCTTTTTAAAGTAAATCTTTTGCTACCTCCATACTTAAGATTGTACCCGAACTTCTGATTTAGATGCTGCTAAGGTGTTACCTTTCCTTCTTTATAGATTAGCAGTTTTAATGTCCTCCAGTGAGTTTTTATTATCCTTGGAGAAGTGTTTTTTTTTTTTGCCTCGTTAAATGCTAATTTTTGAAAATTTCACGTTCGCTGTAACTTGATTGATATTCATGGGACCGAATCTTGAAATTCTCTGAACTGTAAGTTGCTATTGACTAGGGGAAGTTAAAAGTCAATGCTCTGAAAATATTGGATGAATAAACTTGGTTAAATTCAGATCAGGATTGGAATATCTACCAAGCTTGACCTGTCTTGCAGCATATCTTGTACCATCTTGGTTTCTCTTTCTGAAGAGGTTAAAATATGAGGTTCGATTAACTTCTTCATCAGGATTGAGTTGATACAGGATGCTGGCTAAGGTCTACACTTGTACTATGCAGTTTCATGGGGTTAGAGATAGTTGTTAGCATTCATTTTGAGCTCTGTCCCATCTAGTTTGTCTTCCAACAATTCCTGTACCTATTTCCTTTATGATCACTAGGCAGTGATACAGTGTTGCTCATTACAGTACTTGATAAGAGAAGTTTTCTAGTGTATGAACAAATTCAGTGAGCGCTGTCTTCTCACATGGTTCTCAACATTCGCTTATACAATTCAAATAGTTTTAGTAAACACCAAACTTGATTAGCATCTGTTATACTAAGCTGCACTTGACTCCTCTAACATCACAATTCTCTTCTTTAGCACGACTGAGTGAGTGTAGACCAACTATGATTTGTTTTTAGTTTTTCCATAAACCATCTTTTATACTATGCAACGCACTAGTTTCAGATGTCAATGTTGCTATCTCTTGCTTTTGTCAGAACTGTTATTCCCTTTGGGTTTAGTACTTCTGAATATTAATGCAGCCTTATAGTTGCCAATAGTAACATGTAGTGAAAGGGAAAAAATGTGAAGTTTGAGAATGATGACACACACGTGGACCTTCTGGAGTGAACTCTTAGCTGAAATATAGAAGCATATTTCTTGGCTACTAGAGCATGTTTGGGAGCAGCGTATTGCCCTTTTAATCCCTATGGAATATGCTCCCCCCAAACATGCTTTAGGTTTGGAAAATGGCTTTTTCTCCTACCATTACAGAATCATTTATTTCTTTTTCTTTCTTTCTTTGTTTAGTTTACGAGAGGGAATGCTTGGGAGACAATAAAGTTTCTTCATTTCACACCCATCAATGTTGTGAAGAAGGAGATGTTTTTATGTGCATTTAGTGTGTTCTGTGACATGCCAATTGTAATATTTGTGAAATGTAGTCAATCGAATATAAATTTTTTCTGATGAATTTCCAGGAAGAGAGAGACAAGAAACAGAAAGCCTATGAAGAAGAGAGGAGGTTGATTTGAGTTTCTGATTTTACCATAATGGTGGCCTCTTCTCTTTATTTTCTCTTTACTAATGGGTGGAAAATGTTTAACTTTCTAAGTTTAATTCAGATCAAGAGAGCGGGGAAGCCGGGATCGGGACCGGGACCGTGACCGTGACCGGGAATCTAGCAGGGATCGTGATAGTCGTGATAGAGGACGAGACTATGACCATAAGAGCAGAGATCGTGATAGACATTATGACCGTGACCGTGACCGTGACCGTGACCGTGACCATGACCGTGATCGAGATAAAGATCGTGCTCGCAGCTATGACTCTAGGAGTCGCCATAGATCTCGTTCACGGTCAAGAGAACGTTCCAGGGATTACGATCGCCACAGGTTCTCATTTTTGACAGCTACAATATTTTAGTAATTTCTTTTTGAGTTATTATGTCATGTGGTAGCCCAATGCACTATTTATGATGGTAATAGTAATACACATCTAGATTCTAAAGTCCGACACAATATCTGAAGTTCAAAGTTTTTTTTGGATCCGAAGTTCACATCTAATGAAGCATTTCACTCATTAATAGTGTTTCAGGTCAACTTTAATTTTTTGGAAGTGTTTATAATTGTTTTAAATTATTAATATTAGATATATGCAGTGGATAATTGTGTAGTAGTGGTGGAGTCTATGAAATGTGTAGATAAAAAGTAGGTTTGACCGAAAAGTGTTTATAATTTAAACACCCCCCAGACAAGGGCTTACTTTAGTATGTTTAGAACTCTTAGAAGTACTAAAAGCGTGCTTTGGAAGTGTTTAAGAACGGTTCAATTATTAATAGATAGGAATTAGGAGTAGATAAATTGGTAGTACTTGTGGGTCTCTCAAAATTTGTAGATAAGTGTTTATAAACAGTGTATAACTATGAGCAAAACATGGGCTTAGTAGTCTGCAGACAAAATTTATATTTTGTTTAAGAATGCCAAACAGTATACTGTATATATGGCTTCATTACTTAATAGACCACAGTTTTCTGTTCATTTTTCATTGTTTACTCCCTCCCTATTTATATTTCTTTCTTGATTAGAAAGAAAGATCTTCTCTTCCTGTTCTTTTTGTGAACAATGATGTCATTTCTAGTCTGGGTAAGTTTCTAATACCCTAAATGGTGGAGAAAGGTGCATGATTTTGACACTATTCTGCCTGACAGTAATGATGTTATCCCTTCAATTCCTCAGAAACACCAATGACGATGTTTTAACGTCAACGTTGTATATAGTTCTTTGTTAATGTTGCTGTCTCCTTTTCAATTGTTTCTGACTTTGTTGTGGCATCTAGAAAGTCCCACCAGAAAAAATTTCCATTGTCGCCTCAAAGCTCCTAAATTATTCTATCAAAGTGAGGTACTGCACAAGTGATGGTCTTAATCCTGCTAGTCCAGCTTATCATCTATCTACTGTAATGGGGAATCCATTAATCCTGATAGTCCAGCCTATCATCTGCTACTCATCCCATTAGTTTAATACCTTATTTTGTTCACGACTAATTTCTCTTTTGCTCATTCAATGCAAGAAGCCATATTCATCATTAGGGCTCTTAGCAATCTAGTGGTATCTCTCTCAAGAGTTTGCTCCAGCTCTCTCCTCTTACCGTAGTAACAATTGTAAGTGGAAAAAGGAATTAGTGTATTTTGGTGAGCGCGCTAGCTTCATGCATATGGATAATGTCCTCTTTTTCCAAACGTGATGCTGGCTTTTGTTCATTTCTTTGCAGGCGTCGTTACTAGCTGGAGATTTAGAGGAGAAATCTGAATTTGTATCTTATGTTAATCGACTATTTAAATATTCTGGAGGACAATGTTTTGTTTTCGAATTTCCGAACTGCTCTACATTAATTGGGAAGAGATGCTTTGTATGCCAGTCTTGTGCTGATTCCAACTCCACTTATCTATTTGTGCTTTCGACTTCATTACTTTTGGTTTCTGATGTTTCAGACTGCACAATAGTTGTTTCCTTGTTCTGGCTGGATTGTTTTTCACAATACACGTGTTGTGATCAGTTTGGACTTGCTTAAACTGGATATGATCTCTTAGATTGTAAGAATTTTGTTGGCTGGTTAATTCTGTCTCAATTTTTCTGCTTTGTGTGACCTTTGTTTTTACACATTACATATTACTGTATAACATCAAATATAGCCCTCAAGTTCTATGGGGTACTTTTAAGATTAACCATGTCAACACCCCCATTTTCTACATAAGCCTAAGGTATTTCCCATTCACCTCAATGGCCTTTTGATGGTTAAAAGACAAAAGTATCTTTAAATATGTTATACAATTACAAAAATATGATTATGTTTAAAATATAATAATACATTTTTAAGTTACACAGTAAAAAACAAATATTTCTTATTTAAAATTTTAAAATTAAGTTGTTTTATTTGTTTACTCCAATATGGATCAAAGGTCAATTCATTTTTTTATCTGCTTCAATCTTAAAATTTCCGAAGTTTATTAAACGCTCAACAAGAAGATATTGTTTATAGTCATCACTTTGAGCTGGTAAGTATATTTGTATAGATTTAATTTTGCTTTTGTTAAATTATTATATTGTTTTAATTGTATTTTGATATAGATAGGTAAATTTTTACATTTCTTAAGTAGACTCTAATTTTTTAAGTAAAAATAAGAAAAATTCATTTGCATGTATATTTTCTTTAGATAGATTCATGGCCATCTATAAAAAGGCCAGCCCAGCCATTTAGGACCCTAGAACAGCCGAACTAACCGTTTCGGTTGACTATTTATGATCGGTCGGCCCAATTGTCTAGGCTAGATGTAATAGTTGACCAGTTTGTTGGGATTGACTGTTAATGGTCGATCTAGACGGTTGGGTTGGCTATCGTCTGAGCTTGCTATTAACAGTTGGTCTAGCCATTTTTTGTCGTTCTTATTATCTATTTTTTAAAGAATTTTATTTCCTAATGCAAATGTGGGATCAGTTAAAGCCTTGATTGTTATTTGGTGTATTGGAAATGAATGAAAATTATTGACGGGCATGAAAATGGACAAGTAAAAGACATGGTGTAATCGACCTCCTTTTAGTACGATATGCAATTGAGATTTCTATTCAACTAGCATACTTTCATTTCAATTCCACTTATAAATGTTACTTCTGGGGTTGAAATGAATGTTCTAATTGAATTGAATCATAATAGCAGGACTCCTATTTATATAACTTTAGTGAGGAAGAATGTTTTGAGAGTGAACATGAAGATTTCGATGTAGAATATCATAATGTGATTTTTTTTTTTTGAAACACAGTAGAGACATCTTGTAAAGATGATGTAGTTATTCTTGAAACAGTTGTTCTTTATCATAATCTCATTGTTATGTATAGAATTCTCTTGGTAATTCAAAACAACGAGAATGAAAATGAATTTACAAATGAGGATTTGATTGTTTTATTTTGTCGGATACATGAGTGTGGTGAGAAGTCACAGACTGGACCTAGTGCACGATCCTCTAATTATTCGCATGTGATTCTTGATGATGAAGATTTAATAGTTGAGCAACTGTTTGAAACGAAGATAGATTTTCAGGAAACTGTGCACCGGATTGCATTGAAACACAATTTTGAGTTTAAAGTGAAAAAATCAAATAATTCAACGTACACAATTACTTGCGTTATCAACAGTCTCGATTCGCGTTTGCGAGTGACGAAGATGTACACGAATAAATTCTTATTAGTTCGCAAGTATGTACGAAAAATTATTTGTGAAGTGGGTATCGTTGTAATGATCACATGTAAGCTGGAACATAATTTATTAGTCGACAAATAATGCAAAAGTTTTGAGGTCCGTAGATGATCTACAACCATTAGGACATCATCAACGATGTTCGTCGAGAGTATGAAGTGGTCATGAGCTATAAGAAGGTCGAAGAATACGCATTGGAAGATTTAATGGGTTCGGTTGATGAGAGTTATGCTAAATTGGTCATGTATTACTATAACATGAGGATAACTAATTTTGGCTAGCATTTTTTATTGAGACAGAGGGCGAGAATCGCTTCAAGTATTCTTCATGACTTTTGGATAATGTATTCGAGGATTTCTAAATGTGATGCGACCCTAAATTCTAGTTGACGGTACAATCCTGAAAAGCCAGATACGAAGGCAAGTTGAACATTGCATAGCATCCCTACTATTTGTCCATCCTCAACAAGTCGAATCAACCGGGATAAAGCTTTAGCACTCAACAAAAATAAATATGGTGATAGAGGACAACCACGACGAAGTTCCTGCAACGACACCACTAGGCGCTGTGCTCTACCATTAATGCTAAAAGCAAAGATGGGAGAAGAAATATAGTTGAAAACCAGGTCCTACCATTTTTGAGAGAAGTCCATCTTTTCCAAATTTCGAATAATAAACCCCCATTCCACACTATCATACGCTTTGCTCATGTCAAGTTTTAATGCATGAAGTCTTTCCTAACATTGCATTTCTACTTGATGAATGGACACACTCAAAAGTGATGACAACATTATCTATGTTAAACTGTCTGGTACGAAAGCGCTTTAATTTCCTAAACGAGAGGATATAAAACTTTTCTTGTTCAATTAGCGATAACCTTTGAAATTAATTTGTAAATTACATTACAAGACTAATTGGGCTAAAGTCACTAACGTGTTATGGCAATGGCTTTTTAGGAATGACTGATCTCATAAGTATAATGTTACAAGAGCCTTTGATATAGCACATATATGGGTTTGCGTGGGTATTCATTGTTAAGACGTGGAGGCTAATTATTGCCTATGTGCGGAGTTTATAAGCGGATCGACCTTTGCACTTGTAATTCAGTTTTGTCCTCTTATAAATGAGGAGTCGTCATTAGGATTTTATATCATCATCAAAACAAGAGACATGTTTGTGACTTATAGCACTATAGTCTGGGACACATGAATGAGAAGGGAATGAAAGTGTTTCTATATAAAGGAAAGCCACTCGAGTTGAAATTTATTGAAGACAGTTTGTGCGAGGGAAATATTTATGATAAGAAGAAAAATGTTTGCTTCTCTTAAATTGGAAGGGAGCCAAAAATTACAAATTTGGAGTTCATTCATACGGATGTATGGGGACCTTCGATTGTTACTTTCCTTAAAGGTCCAACTATTATGCGATATTTATTGATGACTTTAGCGAGAAAATATGGTTTTATTTATTAAAGAATAAATCAGATGTCTTTGATGCATTCAAAAGATGGGGAACCGATGACCAAAAGAGACAAATTTGAAGGTGAAGTGTTTACAATCAAATAATTGGAGATAATATGTAGATGATGATTTCAAGAAGTATTGTGCTAACCATGAAATCAAGATGAAGAAGACTATTCTAGAGTCACCTCAACAAAAATGGTGCGATTGAGAGGATAAATATGATTTTAAACGAGTATGCTAGAAGCATGAAATTGAATGCATTGCCAAAAAATGTTTTGGCCTGAGGCTATCTATAGTTCAGCTTATGTGATCAATAGAGGTTTTTCAATATCATAGGGCTGTAAAATACTAGAGGAAGTTTGAAGTGATAAAGAAGTAAACGTTTCACACTTGAAAGTTCATTGATTTTGTTGCAACAATTGGCTATGGTGATGCCTAGGTTATTTATCATTTTTGAGACGATCAAAATCAGAAGGTTATTAGGATCAAGAAAGTGATCTACGAGGATATGTTGGGAATAGACCCTAAATGCACAAGTACTGAAGTCAAAAATCTCGAGGTGATCTCGTTAAAAAATCTTTGTGTGCTTGGAGAATGCTGATGTTAAAGATTGAGAAAGTACAGCCCTAGAGGTACATGAAAGATCCCTGTGAATCAATTTGGGGATACAACAGAACAATTAGAACTCCAAAGAGATACTTCTCAGTGTTGCTTTATATTCTATTAATTGATAGAGGTGAAGAAAAAAGTTATAATGAAATTGTTCAGATTGATGAATCAATTTCAAGTGGAACTTAGTCATAAGCAATGAGATGGACTCATTATTGTCCAATTGTACGTGGCAATTGACATAGTGAATTATTGCAACGAACTAGAATGTAGTCTCAAACTAAGACGAATATCTATAATTTTTACACGTTCTTTTGTGTCTTTATTTCTTACTGTAATATTATTATTCCCGGGGGTATAAAATTATAGTTTTTAATTCGCAACTGCAATGTCCATATATTTATTATTCATTAATATTTTGTTTAAATAATATTTTTACCTATATAGTTGTGGACAACCACTTAATGTATAATATTTACAATATTCCCTGGGATGTCTATTATACAAAGAAAATGTCTCGTCAAAATTTTATCAAGAAAAGAGTAAATAAGGCCGTTGAATACATCTTCATCAAAAAACATATTTGAAAAAATTAATCGAGATAATTTCGGTCAAGAAAAATAGGACAATGCGTATTACTCCCCTCACGATATCACTTGAGATATTTGAAATAACCTTCAAATATTTCTTTTCAATTTTCTCAAATATTATATTGGGTAATGCATCTGTGAATATGTCTACTAATTATGAAACATTGATGATAAGAATATGATGAAAAAAATGTTGGAATATAAGTACGACAATGAACCAATTCGTTGAACTTTATAAATTTAAAATGTGACACAACCAACTAAAACAGTGTCAAGAAATAATTACTACTGTGAAATTGTGATTCAAGCACTACAAATATAAAATATTGAAGAAATTGCTGTCAAAATAATAGGTGTGGACTTACTTGTTACATTTCAAATAAATTGGAGATCCTACCTGTAATTTACCCTCCATTTCATCCAAACTCCCAAATCCTCGGCGTCAACTAGTATACTTGCCAAAGAAAAAATAAAATTACTTGCTAAAGAAAAAAAAATAAAGGCAATTTAAAGCAAAAATTATATCATTCCTATTCCATCTCCTAGAAACCACAATAACAACCCAAAAAATGGAGGACCCAAATAAAAAAAAAAAAAAGAAGAAGGAACAATTTAATAAGAAAAACAATAGGGCGATTGTATCATACCACGTTTTAATTACATTAAGGTCATTAATTTTTATTCATTATCACCCTATCTATACCTTTTTTCTTCATAACATTTTTATTTTTAACATTACATTGATAAGAAAGTCTTGTATTTAATCATGATTTTTGTCTGAATATATTGTTAACGTGTTTTAAAATGAGGGCCTAATATTTAATCATATTTTTGCGTATTTTTTTGCTAACTTAAAAATATTATAGACAAATGAGTTTTTTTTTTTTTTTTTTTTTTTTTTTTTTTTTTTTTT